TGTAATCCCAACACTTTGGGAGGCTGAGACAGGTGGATCACTAGGTCAGGAGTTCGAGACGAGCCTGACCAACACGCTGAAGCTTCGTCTCTTTAAATAAGAAAAAAGAAAAAAGTTCTGAAGCTGGATTTTTATGATGGTTGCACAACAATAAGAATGTACTTAATATCAATGAATGGTCCACTTAAAAATGGTTTAAAAGGGCCAGGCGCAGTGGCTCAGGCCTGCAATCCCAGCATTTTGGGAGGCCGAGGTGGGTGGACAACGAGGTCAGGACTCCAAGACCAGCCTGGTCAAGATGGTGAAACCCTGTCTCTACTAAAAATACAACTCCAAGACCAGCCTGGTCAAGATGGTGAAACCCTGTCTCTACTAAAAATACAAAGAGTAGTAGCCTGTAATCTCAGCTACTCAAAAGGCTGAGGCAGAGAACTGCTTGAACCTGGGAGGCAGAGGTTGCAGTGAGCCAAGATCACACTACTATAATCTGGGCAATAGAGTGAGACTCTATCTCAAAAGAAAAAAAAGAAAGAATGGTTAAAAAAGATACAAATGAGCAAAAACCAAGAAAACTCAATGAAATACCACTTCACACCCATTAGGATGGCCATTATCAAAACAACCAAATAAAAAACCACATATACACATACAAATTTACCAAAAAAGGAAAAACAGAAAATAAGTGTTGGGGAGGATGTGGGAAAATTGGAACCCCTGTGTTCTACTGGTGGGAATGTAGAATGATGCAGCCACTAAGGAAAACAGTATGATGGTTCCTCAAAGAGCTAAACATTTAATAACCAACCATCAGCTAGGTGCAGTGGCTCATGCCTATAATCCCAATACCTTCAGAGGCCAAGGAGGGAAGATGGCTTGAGGCCAGGAGATCGAGACCAGCACAGACAGCATAGGGAGACCCTGTCTCTATAAAAAAAAAACAAAAATAAAAAAATTATGGGCCAGATGTGGTGGCTCATGCCTGTAATCTCAGCCCTCTGGGAGGCCAAGGCAAGAGAATCACTTTAACCCAGGAGTTCGAGACCAGCCTAGACAACGAGGAAAGAGTTCATCACAATAAAAAATAAAAATTAAACAAACAAACAAAAAAATTAGCTGGTTGTGGCAGCCCATACCTGTAGTCCCAGCTACTAAGGAGGCTGAAGCAGGACGACTGCTTGAGCCTACAGGTTCGAGGCTGCAGTGAGCCATGACTGTGCCACTCAACTCCAGCCTGGGCAACAGAGCAAGACTCTGTCTCTAAAAGAAAATGAATAATAATAATTACTATATAGCAATTTCACTTCTGGGTATATACTCAAAAGAATTCAAAGCAGGAATTCAAAGAGATATTTGTACACCAATGTTCACAGAAGCATTATTTACAATAGTCAAAAGGTAGAAACAACCAAAGTGTCTACTATAAATTAATTAATAAAACAAAATGTGGTGTACACACACAATGGATTAAGCCATAAAAAGGTATGAAGTTCTGACACACACTACAACATGGATTAACCTTGAAACCATTAAACTAAGTGAAATAAACCAGACACAAAAAGGACAAATATTGTATGATTCCATTTAGTATTTGCAGTACCTAGAACAGGCACATTCATACAGACACAAAGTAGATCAGAGATTACCAGGGGCTAGAAGGAGGAGGAAATGGGAAGTTATTTGTTTAATGGTTACAGTGTTTTTTTTTTTTCACTGCAACCGCCTCCCAGGTTCAAGAAATTCTCCTGCCTCGGCCTCCCAAGTAGCTGGGACTACAGGCGAACACCACCATGCCAGGCTAATTTTTTGTATTTTTAGTAGAGACGGGATTTCACCGTGTTGTATCTCCTGACCTTGTGATCCACCCTCTTCAGACTCCCAAAGTGCTGAAATCACAGGCATGAGCCACCATGCCTGGCCTCTTTTTTTTCAGACGGAGTCTGGCTCTGTAGCCCAGGCCGGAGTGCAGTGGCATGATCTCAGCTCACTGCAACCTCCACCTCCCGAGTAGCTGGAATTACAGGTGCTGACCTCAAGTGATCTGCCCGCCTTGGCCTCCCAAAGTGCTGGGATTACAGGCATGAGCCACCACCCTGTCTGGTTGTAGATTCTGTTTGAGATAATAAAGTTTCAAAAATAGTGGTGTTGCTTGTATTACATTGTGAATGTAATTAATACCACTAAATTGTACACTTAAAAATGGTTTAAAGGACAAATTTTGTGAAAATATACATAAACACACATAAAAACATATATTTACTACAATTTGTTTCATTTATTTATTTATTTATTTTTTAGACAAGAGTCTTGTTCTGTCGCCCACATTGGAGTACAGTGGCATGATATCTCCTCACTTCAATCTCTACCTCCCCGGTTCAAGTGATATTCCCATCTCAACCTCCCGAGTAGCTAGGACTAACAGGAGCATGCCACCATGCCTGGCTAGTTGTTTCTTTGTTGTATTTTTTGTAGATACAGGTTTCACCATGCTGTCCAAGCTCACAATTTGTTTTAAAAATACTCTGCCACCGACCCAGCGCCGCAGAGAATGGAATTTCCTCCGCGCCGCGCCGCAGCCTTCAGCGCTCAGTCCGCCGGGAAATGAAGATCACAAATTGTTTTAAAAATACTGTAAGAGGGCCAGACATGGTGGCTCACACCTGTAATCCCAGCACTTTGGGAGGCTGAGGCAGGTGGATCACCTGAGGTCAGTAGTTCAAGATGAGCCTGCCAAGATGGCCAGACGCGGTGGCTCACGCCCGTAATCCCAGCACTTTGGGAAGTCGAGGAGGGTGAATCTCGAGGTCAGGAGATCAAGACCATCCTGGCTAACACGGTGAAACCCCATCTCTACTAAAAACAAAATTAGCCAGGCGTGGTGGTACACACCTGTAGTCCCAGCTACTTAGGAGGCTAAGGCAGAAGACTCACTTGAACCCGGGAGGCGGAGGTTGCAGTGAGTTGAAATTGTACTACTGCACTCCAGCCTGGGCGACGGAGCAAGACTCTCTCAAAAAGAAAAAGAAAAAAATTAGGGCCGGGCGCGGTGGCTCACGCCTGTAATCCTAGCACTTTGGGAGGCCGAGATGCGTGGATCACCTGAGGTCCGGAGTTCAAGACCAGCCTGGCAATCATGGTGAAACCCCATCTTTAAAAAAAAAAAAAAAAAATTAGCTGGGCATGATGGCGGGCGCCTATAATCTCAGCTGCTCCAGAGGCTGAGACAGGAGAATCCCTTGAACTCGGGAGTCGGAGGTTACAGTGAGCCAAGATAGCACCACTGCACTCCAGCCTGGGCAAAAGAGAGACTCCATCTCAAACAAACAAAAAAAAATAGCATTAATACACCAAAAACCTCTGAATTATACAGCTTAAATGGGTGAACTGTATGGTGTATAAATTGTAACCCAATAAAGCTGTTGGTTTTTGTTGGATTTGGTGTTTATTTTTGAGATGGGAGTTTCACTCTTGTTGCCCAGGCTAGAGTCCAATGGCGTGATCTCAGCTCACGGCAACCTCTGCCTCCCGGGTTCAAGCAACCCTCCTGCCTCAGCCTCCCGAGTAGCTGGGATTACAGTCATGTGCCACCAAGCCCGGCTAATTTTGTATTTTTAGTAGAAATGGAGTTTCTCCATGTTGGCAGGCTGGTTGGTCTTGAACTCCGGACCTCAGGTGATCCGCCCGCCTCAGCCTCCCAAAGTGCTGGGATTACAAGCGTGAGCCACTGCACCTGGCCCTGGCTATTTTATTATTTGTAGAGTAGGGGTCTCACCATGTGCCCACGCCGGTCTCTAACTCCTGGAATCATGCAATCCTCCCAGCTTGGCCTCCCAAAGTGCTGGGATTACAGGCGTGAGCAACTAGGCTCGGCCTGGTAATAGAATTCTATAAGGAGAGGTGCTACAACTGTCCAGAGAGACCTGGAACCCATCCTGTAGGTTAAGTATCTAGTTAGGTGCTAGTTTGAGACAAGGTTCAAATTAAAGTTTTGTGTTGCACCAAAATGGTACCATATTATTTCGTTACTTTCCACGCTGCCAGTCCTACCGTCACGCACCACTTCTTGACACCTGTCCTTACTGACCTCACAAATTTAGTAAGGGTGACATATTTAAATCATTCACACTGGTGACATTTTTCAACAAGGAGGAGGAAACTAGCAAGCCGAGGGCAGAATCCAGGATTCAGTAAACGAACCAGATGACCAACTGCATCCCCCTCTCCTGAACTCCTTCACTTAGATCCAGCTACTCAGACCTTCACAAGCAAACCTGGAATATGCAAAATATAAAATTATCCTCATGGTGTATATACCCTACAAAACAGGGTCCTTCCTTTTAAAAAAAAAAAAAAAAAAAAAAGCATTTCCAAAGTTGAACCCATTCCCCTAACGTCAATTCTAAAGTAAAGAGAAAAACACATATTTACGCCGCCAAGGAATCTAAAGCGTGAATACGAGAAAACATCCCTCTCCTACAGTGCCTAACGGGCGCAGATCCCACCAGACCACTCCCCCGCCTCCAGGTTCTACCGCCCAGCCTTCTAGTCCGACGGAGCCTCCCTAGTGTCTGTCCAGTCTGAGGACAAGGCTACGTACTAGGCACAAGAGCTCCCTTCCTAGTGATCAGAATTGGATTAGAAACAAGAAAACTGCAAGAAAAAAGGGCCCGCTCACAGCTCCGAAGACTAAGAGCACAGAGCCGCAACCACGCGCCAGCTCCTACCTCTCAGCTGGCAGCTCCGCGGCAGGACCGGTAATTCTACCGCCGCGCCGGGCCCCGCCCCGGGCCCGCGACGGTTCCGGGGCGTTCCTGCAGCGGGCGGCGCCTACCTCACCTCATCGCCGCTTGGCTCTCTTCTTCCCGAGCGAGGCCGCGGCCGCCCCGCGACACCGAAGCCATAGCTTTCAGGCCTCGCGGCCCTGCGACGTCTAGAGCGGCCCTGTCTCCTGGCTCTACCCGCGCAGGCTCTGGCACGCCCTCTCTCCAGTCCCGGGCCCTTACCTTGGCGGCGAAGCCTCCACGGCCCACTACTTCTTCTCCTCAGCCTCCGCCACCGACCCAGCGCCGCGGAGACCGGAACTTCCTCCGCGCTGGGCCACTGCTTCCACAAAGGCGCCGCGCCGCGCCGCAGCCTTCAGCGCTGAGCCCGCCGGGAGATGAAGTACTGCAGCTGGTCCCGCCGACTCTACTCCCGCCGTGCTCCGCGCGCAGGAGGCTTGCCTTCTGGGGAGGGGCGTGGGAGCACGCTGCTCATCGCCACCCAATAAGAAGGTGCGCTTACCCGCCCCGCCTCGCGAGACCCGCTGGGGATTTTGGTTTGGCCTCTGCCCTGTAGCACCTGGTCCTGTTTTTCCTAACTCAACAGTTGATCGAGGCTTACATTTTTTTGGTGGCTTGGCCTTCCTGAGATTTGCTCCCTGCCAGCAGCTCGAGTACGGCCCTGGCCTGCCTAGCTCGAGGCCTCCTTATTGTCCGTTAGTGTGAGGGAAATGGCAAGGGAGCTTCTTTGGGACTAAGTTTAAGCTGTCTCGGAAAGGGGCTGATGGCCATGCGCCCACAGAAGGCCCTGGCTCCTGGCCGTCCCAGCCCTTCTGCCTGAAACCTGACGAAAGGTGCAAGAGAAAAACTTAGAGAATCAGTATGTCACGGAGGCTCGTCCCCTTTTCCTTTATCTCCATGCATTTGCCCATAATCTTTTTTTTTTTTTTCTTTGTTTTTAGAGATGAGGTCTCACTATGTTGCCCAGGATGGTCTCAAACTCCTGAACTCAAGTGATTCCCCCCCGCCCCCCAACCAGCTCTTTTTCCTTCTGATAAGTTTCCAAATTAGGTATTTCCAGCTCAAGAATAGCCGACAGGCCGGGCGCGGTGGCTCACGCCTGTAATCCCAGCACTTTGGGAGGCCGAGGCGGGTGGATCACGAGGTCAAGAGATCAAGACCATTCTGGTCAACATGGTGAAACCCTGTCTCTGCTAAAACTACAAAAAATTAGCTGGGCATGGTGGCACGTGCCTGTAATCCCAGCTACTCAGGAGGCTGAGGCAGGAGAATTGCCTGAACCAAGGAGGCGGAGGTTGCGGTGAGCCGAGATCGCGCCATTGCACTCCAGTCGGTGACAAGAGCGAAACTCCGTCTCAAAAAAAAAAAAAAAAAAAAAAAAAAAAAAAGCCGACAGGATGTTGCGGTGACTCACGCCTGTAATCCCAGCACTTTGGGAGGCCAAGGCGGGTGGACCACCTGAGGTCAGGAGTTCAAGACCAGTCTGACCAGCGTGGTGAAACCCCATCTCTACTAAAAATACAAAAATTAGCCGGGCATGGTGGCAGGTGCCTGTAATCCCAGCTGCTCGGGTGGCTGAGGTGGAGGCTGCAGTGCAGCTGAGATTGGGCCACTGCATTCCAGCCTGGGGGACAGAGCAAAACTCTGTCTCAAAAACAAAAACAAAAAAACCTCATGCGTGTTCAAAGTTCCACCCATAAAGGAAAAGCCACGTGGCTTCCACAGGTCTTGCTAGATCTTGGGCAAAATATCTGGCCAAGAGTGACTTGTGCAAGGTTACAGAGGAGCTGGAATGAAACTACAAGTCAGCAATCTAGCAAAAAATTAGGCAACACAGCTTTCAGTATGCAGCTTGTTTCCAGCATCTTCAAGCTAATGTTCTTCCAACTGCCAGCTTCAAATTCTGAGGTGTATTGTCTTTTTTTTTAAATAAGACAGAGTTTCACCATGTTGGTCAGACTGGTCTTGAACTCCCGACCTCAGGTGATCTGCCCGCCTTGGCATCCAAAGTGCTTGGAGTACAGGCATGAGCCACCACACCCGGCCAAGCGTCAGGCACCTCAGATGTATTGTCTACATTGTTGAAAGACTTGCTGGTCTTGGCCACCTGGTGTTCCTTCCTGTCAGTGGGCCCTTAGCCAAGGTAACCTGATTTTATAGCCTAAATTCAACATCATGGGATCAAAAAAGTCTGCTGCAAGAAAAGCCCATTAAGCATTCAAAAATAAAGCAGGCTTAGGCTGAGCGCAGTGGCCCACTCCTGTAATTCCAGCACTTCGGGAGGCCGAGGCAGGCAGATCATGAAGTCAGGAGTTCAAGACCGGCCTGGCCAATGTGGTGAAACCCCGTCTCTACTAAAAATACAAAAATTAGTAAAATGTGGTGGCACATGCCTATAATCCCAGCTACTCAGGAGGCTGAGTCAGAAGAATTGCTTGAACCCAGGAAGCAAAAGTTGCAGTGAGCCAAGATCGTACCACTGCACTCCGGCCTGGGCAACTGAGCGAGACTCTTTCTCGAAATAAATAAATAAATAATAAATAAAGCAGGCTTTATCTGTAGAGAAAGGAAGTTGTTGAGTTACATAGTTTTTAAAGTTACCTTCCCACTTTTTAGGCATTTTCTTGGGAAGTTATTCCTTCATTCAAGAACTATATGAAGGGCCAGGTGCAGTGGCTCACAACTGTAAGCCCAGCACTTTGGGAGGCTGAGGCCCAAGGATTGCTTGAGCCCAGGAGTTTAAGACCAGCCTAGGCAATATAGCAAAACCTCATCTCTACAAAAAAAATACAAAAATTAGCTGGGTGTGGTGGTAGTCTCAGCTACTTGGGAGACTGAAGTGAGAAGATTGCTTGAGCTCAGAATGTTGAGGTTGCAGTGAGCCATGATTGCACCACTGCACTCCAGCCTGGGTGACAGAACAAAACGCTGTCACCACTAACAACAAAAAAGAACTATGTGAAGGTCTGCTGTATGACATATGCTGTATCAGATGCTGGAGATACAAAGAATTAACAAAGTTGATAAGCTGCTGCCCTACTGGAGATGGAGATGAGGGCTGTTTTTGAAGACAGACAATAAACTAAACAAGATATACAATCTCTTGGCTGGGCATGGTGGCTTATGCCTGTAATCCCAGCACTTTGGAGGCCAAGGCAGGCAGATCACAAGGTCAGGAATTTGAGATCAGACTGGCCAACATGGTGAAACCCCATCTCTACTAAATATACAAAAATTAGCCAGACGTGGTAGCATGCACCTCTAATCCCAGTTACTTAGGAGGCTGAGGCAGAATTGCTGGAACCCAGGAAGCAGAGGTTGCAGTGAGCCAAGATCGCCCCACTGTACTCCAGCTATGGGTAACAGAGCAAGATTCCATCTAGAAAAAAAAAAAAAGGCCAGGCACGGTGGCCTCACACCTGTAATCCCAGCACTTCAGGAGGCTGAACTGGGCGGATCACAAGATCAAGAGATTGAGACCATCCTGGCCAACATGGTGAAACCCCGCCTCTACTAAAAATACAAAAATTAGTTGGGCGTAGTAGCACACACCTGTGATCTCAGCTATTCCAGAGGCTGAAGCAGGAGAAATTGCTTGAACCCGGAAGGAAGTTGCAGTGAGCTGAGATGACGCCACTGCACTCCAGCCTGGCAACAGAGTGAGACGCTGTCTCAAAATAAATAAATACAATCTCTCTGGTGGTGGTAATGCTATGGAGAAAAATAAGGGAGGGAAGGAGAGTGGGGAGTTCTGGGGGGAAGTTGTAACTTTCGAGCAGTGTGGAAGGCTTCACTGAGATCTTGGAGAAAAGACCCAAAGAAGATTAGGAACCAAGCTATTCGGATACATGGTGAAAGAATGTTCTGGACAGAAAGAACAACAAGGATAGCCGGGTGCGGTGGCTTACACCTGTATACCTGTAATCCTAGCACTTTAGGAGGCTGAGATGGGTAGATCACAAGGTCAGGAGTTGAAGACCAGCCTGGCCAAGATAGTGAAACCCTGTCTCTACTAAAAATACAGAAAAAATTAATAGGGCATGGTGGCGGGTGCCTGTAATCCCAGCTACTCCGGATGCTGAGGCAGAGAATTGCTTGAACCCAGGAGGCGGAGGTTGCAGTGAGCCAAGATCGCACCACTACACTCCAGCCTGGGTGACACAGCAAGACTACGTCTCAAAATAATAATAATAATAATGATAAAATAACAGCAAGGGCAAAGGCCCTGAGGTGTGGGCCTGACCAGAATTTTTAAAGATCAGTAAGGAGTCTGGAACTGAATTGTTTTGGGAGAAGTGGGATTAGGTCAGAAAGGTATGAAGGTTGCAGTGCAGTGGCACAATCATAGCTCACTATAGCCTCAAACTCCTGGATTCAAACAATGTGGCTGGATTATTGCAGCAACCTCCCAACCAGCTGTCCTGCTTCTCCCCTTTCCCACTTTCAGTCTGTTTTCCACACAGTAACCAGAGGAATCCTGTTAACATGGAAGTCAGGTTATGATGTCGCTGTTCAGAGCCCACTAACAACTTTCTGTCTCCCTCCTTAGAGAAACCAAATTCATTTCAGCAGCCTACACGGTACAGGAGGAGCCACAGTCATGTCACTGTACTCCGGCCTAAGCAACAGAGCAAGACCCCCATCTGAAGAAAAAAAAAGAAATCCAACCGCAGGATGGTGCTTGCAGCAGTGTGACCACAGTAGAAACAGGAGACAGACATTTTGGACTGGAATAAAGGAAGAAAGGGAAGAATATGAGAGGAACAGTTTTGGTAGGAAGAGCAGGAACTCAGTTTTGGGTAGGTTAAGTTTTCTGATAACTAGTAGACAGGTGAGATGTGGAGCTGGAAGTTGATTACATCAGTCTGGAGTTCAGAATAAAGATCAGGACTAGAGATACAAATCTGGGAGGTATCAGCATGTTGCTAATATCTAAAGCCGTAGGCCTGGATAAGATAACCAAGGGAGTAAGGGAAGATGGAAAAGCAAAGTTTAAGCCTTGAGCACCGAGGCTACACCAGTGCTAACAGGTTTCAGGAAAGAGGAGGAACAGAACTATGGATATTTTAGCCGGGTGTGGTGGCTCATGTCTGTAATCCCAGCACTTTGGGAGGCCAAGCTGGGTGATCACCTGAGCTCAGGAGTTCAAGACCAGCCTGGCCAACATGATGAAACCTAGTCTCTACTAAAAATGCAAAAATTAGCCAGGTGTGGTGGTGGGTGCCTGTAATCTCAACTATTCAGGAGGCTGAGGCAGGAGAATTGCTTGAACCTGGAAGGTAGAGTTTGCAGTGAGCTGAGATCGCGCCACTGCACTCCAGTCTGGGCAACAGAGTGAGACTCTGTTTCCAAAAAAAAAAAAAAAGATCTATGGGTATTTTGACTTTGCTTCTCAAACTAGGCCTTTATTGGTG